GCACATAACAAAAGTATTGCTGGCCCCACCCTTTGTGTGCATCCTGCAGTTAAACCCCCCCTTGTAAAGCACCAGTAGGGCGCAGTGTGCAGAGCCAGGCTCCGCAAAGTGCCTTCCAGCTCGGCCGGATGATCACGCCTGTAATGGCACCGACTGATGATGGGCCTTTTTCGGAAGAACAATGGAATGAAAATCAAGGAGGAATGCTGGATGTTTCCCCGTCGCGTGAGATCACTGGTGCCACCTGGAAGCCTAAAGCACAAATTACCTGCGATGGGAATTTCCTGGGACTGAATTTGGAATTTTAAGGAGCTGTATTTAAACCTTGCACTGTTCTGAGCCACCGCTTTCTCCACCTGTTTTTAATGTGCCAAAAGCTTCCAGAATTTTCTCCTGCCGGTAGCCAGATTCACACATCTGTGAGCGGTAAGGATTTAACTGCTTTCTGTCTTTGTAAGAGAAAGATACTTACTTTTCCCATGTGACCAGGAGGATTGGAAATGGAAAAGACCCTTTAGGGCATGATAGTAATTATCACTCTGCCATACAGATGACTGTATGCTGCTAGCCAAGGTCATGGACCACGTCTTTGCACTGTGTTTGAAGTCCCAAGATGGCTAGGGCCCCAATTATGTTTTCATTTGTCCCAAAACTAGTCACTGTCCACTGGGTCCAGTTACTGATTCCTACATTCGCCATGCTTTCAATCATTTAATAAATGTATGTGGCCCTACTAGAGCGCCCCTACCTGGACATTCCTGGAACTTCCTCCCACGAGGATGAGACTTCCTGTTTCATCACAGATGCTGCTGATGCTGTGTTTGCCCTTTATCAGCATCTGAAGGGTTAAAGGGTGCTTTTCCACTGGACCAGGTACCGTACTTTTGGTACTTTGAGAAAGTACCAAAAGTAGGGTACTTCAAGGTGTTGGTTTTCCAGTGACGTAAAAGCTGGTACCGACACTGAATGTCATGACAACGTGAGGCGGGGTATTTTGTACTGAATTGTATTTGTACTGAAAAATGGCTGAATTGTATTATAGGGCTGGACAGTGTGTGATATTAATACCCACATCGCATGTTATGCACATACAATTCTTACATCGCTAGTCAGCTAGATTACAGCATTACAGCTCAGTTTCGCTATAATTTTTTACTGTCATAGAAAACTAGTTTTGCAATTTTAATGATTATTCCTTTTATAGATTATCCAATATATGTTTAAAAATCTGTTTAAATTTTACATCCACTGCATTCGCATGAGCACTGCAATCATAATCATTTTCATCTTTGCTGTATCCATCCTGTCATAGTATATCATACAAAATACTTTTTAAATTTCTTGTTATGCTATACTGACCTTTTTGTTGTATCTGTTCTTCCGACCAGATCGCAATTATTTTTTTTTACTTTGTCTATCATTGTTTTCTGAATCTGTAACTTTTTTCAAGATTGCGGTTCTTTAGAGGCAAGCTATTTGCATAACCTGTCAACAAAGAAAGCGTTTCCCAGCCCGAAGTACTGAAGTACTAAAGCAGTACCCCAGCTGGTTTGGTACTTTAGGTACTGGAACTTTTGTTACTGGTACTCGACTGGAAGTCAATAAAAAAGGGAAAGTACCAAAAGTACAGTGCTTGGTGTGGTGAAAAAGGGCCCAAAAAGTATCCAGTGCATATGTTACCTTTAATAAGGTTTAACACGTTGCCGTTACGAATAAACTGAATATGTATTTGCTTCACAGTCGTTAACCTTCCATCTGCTTTGGATTCCTAATTTCTAGTCGCACCATGGGGGCCCTATGGCTCACAGGAGAGCCATCGGCCGCTGGCCAGAGTACTTTACGCTGAACGTAGCTATAAACCCGACTGCCTGCACATTCCTTAAGAAAGTGCCCAGCTTTGAATACGAAGAGCTATATGCGTATGAACAGAAACACCCAGGGCAGGACCCCGTTTGCACCCGGGTCCATACACGGTGCTTTTCGGGCTGGTTACGGACCCATTTTAGCCTCTTTAGATCTCATGATGGGTGGATAGAAAGCTGGCCTTTGTCCTCAGTTGCAAAGGGGGCCATTTTGGGGGGAGAAGACAAGCGTCCGGGGCCGGATGGCCAGGCAGCGACTCGGGCCCCCGGGTTCCTCGTCGGCTGCTGTTTCCCCCACACCATGCACCGGCGACAGCAGGGATATGAACAGCCTGTAGGGTGCAGCTCTCGGGGGGGGGGGGGGGGGGGGGGGGGGGGGGGGGGGTGGGTGGGTCGCTCAGCATGGGGTTCTCCTGCTCATTTCTCCTCTCTTAATCGATCTGGATAAATGGGGCGCCGCTCGTCATGCCTGAGATATGCTAACGAAGCCCCCCGCTGGCGGCTCCTACCCCACCGGCAGCCTGGTGTCCGGACGGCGCTGCAGAGCCAGGTGTCTGTATGCCAGCCAGATGGGCCGCTCACGTAGGGCAGGCCTGCACCGCTGGGTCAGCTTCCGGCCCGTCACCTGGGTGCATGAGACTATGAGGTTAGTGGGAAGCTGGTGACAGGTAAATAGGGAGCCAGTGATAGGTTACTGGGGAGCCGGTGATAGGTTACTGGGGAGCCGGTGATAGGTTACTGGGGAGCCAGTGATAGATTAGTGGGGAGCCAGTGATAGGTTAGTGGGGAGCCAGTGATAGGTTACCGGGGAGCCAGTGATTGGTTACCGGGGAGCCAGTGATAGGTTAGTGTGAAGCTGGTGACAGGTAAATAGGGAGCCAGTGATAGGTTACCGGGGAGCCAGTGATAGGTTACTGGGGAGCCAGTGATAGGTTACCGGGGAGTCAGTGATAGGTTACCGGGGAGCCAGTGATAGGTTACCGGGGAGCCAGTGATAGGTTACCGGGGAGCCAGTGATAGGTTACCGGGGAGCCAGTGATAGGTTACTGGGGAGCTGATGATAGGCGCTTTTCAGTGGGTAAACAGGAGCCTCACCCACTAGCTACCCTGGCCCCTTTCTGTGCTGCCTGATTGAAAAGCCCTAATCCGTCTACATCCCCTAATCGTCCCAGATCCGTTGCCCTGGGAAACGGAGCCTAATAGGCCTCTTTATTTGTCACATCCCTGCCAAGTGAGCAAATCATTTTTATCAGCGTGTAACTTCCTGGTCTCCCCCCAGTGCAGTGCCCCCTATCTGTCACCACATTATTTTACCAATTACAGCCACACCGTTAGCCTGAGCTGGGTGACAGATCAGCTGCCGGGTTCACCTGTGTATCATGGGATCTTTATCCAAACCAGCTTAAACTGACACTCAGAGAGAGAAGCAACTGTTGCCAGTTGTGCTGGGAATGTTCTGGAGCTGTATTCTGTACCAGAATCCTTTGATGATGTGTGAATAGTATGGTCTCGGCTTTCCGCAGAAGCAGAGGGCGAATAGAGCCAACATAGGGGCCACAGCTGCTTACAGCAGAGCTATAAGAAACGTAATAGGATTTGAACCTTTATTGTCACTGTTCATTGAGCAGCAAAAATTTGTTTAGCAGTACTACAGTTGAGTAAAAACATACACACATGTATTGCACAAGATACATAAGTGAAAATGTAGTGTATATACAGATAATACAATATCCCGAAATAATGTCTTAATTAATCTGTATTGTCAATTGCTTAAAAAGCCTATCACTGTGTGTAAGTGAATTAGTGTCACCCTGCTGAGTCTCTCTGACTCCCTCAGGAAGTTCTGAGATGTTTGCTCCTGCTCCTTGTCGGCTTCCTGGCTGTAGGATCTGCATGATGTCACCCCACAGGTTCTCCCGACGTTCGAAGTCTATTTATTTATTTATTATTTATTTTTTATATATATATATATTTTTTTTATTTTATTTTTTTATATAAAAAACACCTTGTCAGTGTGTTTAATGCACACTTTTTATTATTTTTTTAGTGAAGTTAACTAGGAATACTATATATTCTAAGAGTACTGATTTAAGGCTATCAGTGCTCCCGCAATGAGCTTTTTGAATATTGGGTCCTTAGATGAAGCTCTTTGAAGATGGCGAGATTTGGAACCTTTTCAGTTCTGATTCTTCTGCAGATCCAGGAGGTGCTGATTTAATGGCCTGCGGAAAGTAATCCCTGACCCAGTTTTGGCAAAGGTTCCAGTCGGGTGAATTCTCAAAGGTTCCGCTTTGGTCTCGGGTGGGACAAGGTTGGTTCTGGGGTCTGTGTGCTTATGCATTATGAGCTTAGCTGTTTGACCCCCCCCCCTCGGGAGTGACAGACACGACAGCGTTCCGGAAAGTGCCGCTGCCTAGCGGAGAGGAGTGTCCCATTTGGGACCTTCACCCCGAAGTTACCGCCTACCATGCTGGACACTTTTGGTCTTTGATACACCGGGCAGATGATGGGTTTGTCTCGAATGAGCCCGGCTTATCTGTCGCCTGCATCAGGTGTGTATAAAGCTCTCCATCTAGCACTGAGAGCTCACTGCCATGCGGATGGGGCAGGGTCTCTGAAGTCCCCCACAGATTGCCCAATCAAGCTGGGAGCAGGTGCGCTGCCAGCTCTTTCACTCACTTTGGCAGGAGATGAAATAACGATTCCCGGATGGCAGCTGGAGTGGCGACAGCCATGAGTGCCCGCGTTTGTCTGTGTGAGCGGTTTGTTTTTCTCTCACTCCCCCATGCATGCACTTCTCTGGGTGCGTATATGTGTGCAGACCTTCACACGCCAGTAGTGTCACACCTCTGGAACAGGGCAGCCTGACGTCATGGTCAAACAGCTTTGCTAATTATAACTATGGCCTCAGAATAAGCAACCCCAGTGTTTACTCTGTTATACTGACGTGGTCAGGTGACCTGAGGCGGGCATCGTGGGTGGTTGTTTTCGACGCTCTGGCCTCTGCTGTTTCCTGTCCTCTGTGACTTGGTGCAGCTTCGGTGTTAATACCCCCTCACCTTTCTGGTCAGGAGACCCACCCCTGCACGGTCAGTGCCCCCCACCTCTCTGACTGCCCTGATCTGCTCCTCTCCCCAGAGCTTCTGAACGGCGCCCAGGAGAAATGTGAGCTGCCCTCTCAGGAGGGGTTTCCGCACTGCGAGGGCAAGTTGAAGGTGAGGCTGCGTCACTCTACTGCCGCCAGTATGTGTCGCCATCTACTCTGGATCCCTGTGTGTGGTTTATGTGTTTGGTGATAACTTTCCATGCAATTGCCTTTTAATCACAACTTTCCACTGAATTACCTGGTTAAGAAGAGGACCTGAGCATATTGTTAAACATTAGGCTACATTCATTTCCTGGTAATTCTCATGCACGGATGCTTCTGGAAACTATCAAAACGCTTCCCCACCTTCCGCTCTTTATGGCATAGTTATTATGCAGGAAGACAGGTATGAAAATACCGGAGGCTGTTTTCTGGTGCGTTACAGAGCAGCCTGATCAGCTCTTTGTGAAAACTGCACTTCACGTATTTTTCCCATCACGCAATATCTGTGGAGCATTATTTCAGTGTGTATTAGATGAAAGTGAAACGGTTATCATGAAGTCTTTTCTGTGGTCAGTGTGACCGGGTTGGCAGGATGACGCTGTCGTTCCCGTTAGCGTACCTTCATGTGTGCCTCCTCTTCCTCAGTGGATGAAGGACATGTGGCGGTCAGACCCCTGCTACGGGAGGTATGGTGTCGACGGCTCCACCTGCTCCTTCTTCATCTACCTGAGTGAGGTCAGTCAGCAGAGTGTCGAACTCCCGTCGTATAGCATTAGCGTGGGTCTGAAGGTGTTTAACGTACTCTGAGTGTGACGGGCTTCATACCAGCATTGACGTACACCTCGAAAAAGTAAATAGCCACTATTGTTTGTTTCTCATTAAACACATCTGTCATCATGTCATACAAAAATAAGACCTTGGAATAAGCCTTTAGCTGCTAATTGCTAACACAATGTGCACATTGCTGAGAGCCAAACATCCAATACATTCAATCCAAACTTTATTTACATGATTCACGATGTAACAGCGCTCCCCGTATAAACGGTCACGTGGTTTTAGGGGTTGATTCGGAAAAATAATCATTTAAAGTGTGGAGTTTCTGAGATGCATCGTGGTCCTGGAGAGAGGTGTGTCAGTCGCAGCGTTGCTGTGAAGATCAGCCGCACGCCCCTCCTGTTAAAGCTAAATACACAATAATGTCCATGAACCCAATGAGCCATGAGGTCGCCCAGCAAAATTCTGTGGGTTTGTTTGCTGATCTACTGGTTTGAGGATGACGTGGCGGGCAGGCCGGTTGTATTCACCTGTGCTCACACCGCTTAATAAAAAAATACAGCAAAGCTTTGGGAAGTGACTCATTTATTACAGAGGTGATGCGATTAGAAATATGGGGGCCATCCATCCATCTTTTAACCACTTGCCCTGGTCAGGATCGTGGGGGGCCATTGTGGAGCGTTTTAATCTTCCTGTTTGTTTTGTCCAGGCACTGTAGAGTTCCCGCAGTCTCTCTGGCTGTTTCAGAGCGCTCCACTGTCATGTGACCCTCAAAATCACCATGGAGATCTGCATGCTTTCCAATGCGCTCGCCCTCCCCCTCACCCCATTCAGCAGCACAAGCGTGTATTTCAAATTTGCACGATTAACCTTGAAAAAGAGTTCAGAAATCCTGAATAATTACCAGCATCATAGGCTGGAGCTTAGGTCTCCGAGATTGAGGATCCCTGAATGAATCTTCAGTAACCAGCCTAAAAAGCAAGATTGCGAGTCCTGTTCTTCTCTAAGGCTGTCAAAAAAAAGCTGAATGCCATTTCCATGGGTGATTTGTATGGGCTGACAGTGTCTCCAGCCAATCAGAACGTAGGTGATGAAGAGGGAGGTGTGTGCACAGAACACATGCAGCCAATCGGATGATGAAGGGAGATCTGTGTGCTGAGCTTAACTGATAATGGCTGTTTGTGGCACAGGGAAGGCGTGGGGGCTTTTTGGAGATTAACAGTCTGACCTGAGCACCGTGTTCGCTGGTCTCCCTCGTTGTTCCTGCAGTGTGACCCTGCTTTTCCGAACACTGCCCCCTATCTGGGATCATGTTTCCCCTGCGGTGCCCTCAGCGTGTCCTTGTGAACGAGTGACTGCACTAATCATCATTACTTTACTAGACCTGCTTTGGAAGGTAGTCAAATTTAAGCCAGCTTTGGTTTTGATACGGCATATTTGAAATGCATTCAGTGGGATGTTTTTGCTGGGAGAGGCTAGATAGCAGAGTACATCCAGTGACCCTGATCAGGGTAAGTGGTTGGAAGATAGATGGATGTATGGATACATTCAGTGTTGTGTTCTGGCTGCTCAGAGTGAGGCCACGTCCACCTGCGTCAACATGTCACTGCTTTGCCGTCACATGAAGTGTGTCAGCCAGATCAGATCAGGTGCCGGGCCGTCACAGGTCCACCTACCAGAACCGGGTCGTATCCACACCTTTGAAGTGAGAACAAAGGCAGAGGGCTTTGGGCAGCATCTGCTTGTACATGGAGCCAATTAGCAGGCCTGGCTACTTCTCCGGCCCCCTGCATCCCCCATCCAATGTCCCCTACGAGTGAGCTTGTACCCCCCCACCTCCAGCACACTCTGACATCCCACTTCCCACTTTTTCTCACTCCACAGGTGGAGAACTGGTGCCCCCGGCTACCCTGGAGGCTGAAGCACCTCAATTTGGAGGAGGATAAGAAGGGCCAGGTGGGTGTGGCAGGCTGAGCAGGACCCGCCTGTCCCTCTAAACGACCAGGTGGTGAGGTGGAGCTGCCCCAGTGCAGTGTAACCCAAAGTGATAAAGCTGCAGTTTAATGCTAAGCTATGCAGCGCTGCAGTATAACCCTAAGCTACGAAGCCACAGTTTAATGCTAATCTATGAAGCTACAGTATAACCCTGAGCTATGAGGCCACAGTGTAACTCTAAGCTATGAGGCTGCAATGCGACCCTGAGCTTTGAGACCGTAGGGTAACGCTACGCTATGAAGCTACAGTTTAACCCTGAGGTATGAGGCTGCAGCGTAATGCTAAGCTATGAAGCTGCAGTGTAACCCTGCACTATGAAACTGCAGTGTGACCCTGAGCTATGAGGCCGCAGTGTAACACTAAGCTATGAAGCTGCAGTGTGACCCTGATCTTTGAGACCGCAGTGTAATGCAAAGCTATGATCTCAGTAAGACAGTCACTTAAGTGATGTATTAATAACGAAGACAGTAATAATGAAATAATGATTATGAGGAGACGAAGATTTCAGTGGTGATGAAGGCAGAAGCTCTGACCTGCTGGATTCCCACTCTTCGCGAGCTTCTGCCCAGTAGGCATGGTGACGGAGCGGCGCCTGTTTCCATGCCGACAGCCCCAGGCACCTCACAGACGTGTCAGCATGAGGCACGACGGGCTTGGTTACCGAGGGACACCCGCTCAAGCCAGTGACGCACCTCGTCCGGAAACCTAGTCCCCCCCAGCTGCCTCACTTCTCCAGTGACCCAGCTGTGGGGGGGGGGGGGAGCGAGTGGTGTCTCATATACAGCCACAGGCATCCAGTAATGGCTCCCTTAATTATTGTCGGAGTGAATTATGTATGCCGTTTGTTTCTGTAAAATGGAGCATGCTGAGCATGCCTACTGACTGTCAGCACAAACACAGCATCGATGACAGGATCTGTCCTCGGCACTCCCGTGACCATCCAGCGTGACCGGCTCTGCATGTGTACCATCACTGTGCCTTTATGAAGAGGCGTCGGTAGACGGGATAAGATTATCCTGAGGGAAATTGCTGTGCCAAGGCATCATTCTTCAGAATATCAAAAATAAAAGAATACAAAAAATAAAATAAAACACAAAACTGAATTAGGGTTGCCACCTTCAACTGGCTGGAGTGAGATTTTCAATTCGAGAAGTGTGCACACACATTTAAGTGTATATAACTGTTTTATTACCTTGTAAATAGTCTGTAGGGTTTGCAAACTTGCCCAAGGTTTTTGATGTAGCTAATGTTAAGTTTACAATGGAATAACAGATTTGCTGAGTGAGTGTGAGAGTTCGCACCCCTGAACTAAAGTAGTGACCCCTAACCTTCACCAACAGGAAGCTGATCTTCTGCTCTCTTGTGCCCCCCCCCCCCCCACCCCAGACGGAGATCCGCACCAACTTCGCAGAGCTGTACCAGGTCATGTCTCGGCGAGAGGAGTTCCGCTGGATGATGCTGCGGATCCAGCGCATGGCCGAGCCCTGGGTCAGCGCCATCCGCTCACTGGCCAGGAAGCAGAACCTGACCAAGCGCAAGAGGAAGAAGGTGCGGGGGCGGGGTTACGGGGCAAAGAGGTGGGGCGTCCTGGGGGAGGAGCCTTCAGCGTGTGGGTCCGGCAGCTGTGCTGAATGCATGCCCCTAAAACAAGCAAAGCTCTGGGGTCTAATTTAACTTCTGCTCTAGATATCCTGAAGGAGCCATTATGTAATGTTTGGCTGGGCTTAGATTAATATCGATTTAACAAAAGCTTCTGTTTCTGCAATAATAAAGTATGTCAGAGGAGGAAGCTTGTGGGTGTAACAGCACCGTATGATGTCATCTGATGCCTGGATGAATTAATCACCCAGAACAACACCAGGCTGTCACCTGCAGAACAGAGACCAAGGGCTCAGCGATGACTTTCTCCCCCCCGCCCGCATCCTGCAGATTCTGGTGCACCTGGGCCTACTAACCAAGGAGTCCGGGTTCAAGATCGCCGAGAACGCCTTCAGTGGGGGTCCCCTGGGGGAGTTGGTGCAGTGGAGTGACCTCATTACCGCCCTCTACCTGCTGGGGCACGATATCCGCATTTCCGCCTCGCTGGCGGAGCTCAAAGAGTGAGACGCCTCCTGTCGCCACCGTGGGGCGCACACCGCCCTCTGAGATACAGATTGCAGAAACAGAGATTCTGATACAGGCTTGGTTTGCTAGCGGTCTCATAAAACTACACTGAATGTTATTTTAAGGGTACGCTGATCTCAGGGATGGGCCAGGGAGCTTATTTAAACAAAGTGTTCCAGAGGGTTGCATCCTGCGCACTTCTCACACATTAGATCTCCTAGTTGATGGTGACATTGATTATCTGCTGGGTTTACTCCTGATTCACGTTTCAGTTAACGGCAGGAAACCTGCCCCATGAATTTCAAATGGAATGCAGGTCACCCGCAGGCTGATTAGGAGTTTATGTGCGCTGTGCTGGAGTAGGGACAGGTGCACGGTTTAATTAGGCCTTCACTGCCGGGGTCCGGCAGGGTGACAGACCGTCCCGAGGCCCCCTGCGGCCCCCCGGCGGCCTCACCTCTTGGCTTGCAGTCATGGTAGCCCAGTCATCTGGTCAGTCGTCTGTTGTCACCTAGGGGCGGGGTCGCATGTGGGAGGGTCAGGAGTCCCCTGTGGATGTGGATGCACTATTGTGCTGCTGCAGGAATTACGTGTTTTCCATCTATCCCAGGAATGAGTAACTCTGCGAACCAGCCAACATCCACACTGTCCTGCTGCTTTGTGTGACGGGTCCCTCACACACAATGTACAATGCACAATGAAATACTCAGTCAATCAAATACTCAATCAAATCATATATCCGATCAAATCAGTCAAATACTCGATCAAATCAAATATCTGATCAAATCAATCAGATACCCAATAAAATCAACCAGAAATTCAATCAAATCAATCAAATATCCGATCAAATCAAACAAATATCCAATCAAATCAATGTTATGTGATCAAATCAGACATATACCCAATTAAATGAATGATACCCAATCAAATCAATCAGATACCCTGTCACATCAGATACTCGATCATAATTACTCAGATACCCTGTCACATCAGATACTCGATCATAATCACTCAGATATCCTGCATCATGCCCCCTGTGCACGTGAGATCACCTCCATTTCCCTCCACACCACTCTCGGCATTTTCCTGTGGATCACCCTCCATCTCTGCTGTGCTGAAGCCTGCTGTCCCTCTCTGTTCCGCCCAGGATCATGAGGAGAGTGATGGGCAACAAGTCCAGCTGCCCCACCCAAGGCGACAGAGTGGTGGAGCTCATCTACATCGACATCGTGGGCCTGACGCAGTTCAAGAAGACTCTGGGGCCGTCCTGGGTTCACTACCAGTGAGTGTCAGGCTGTAACGGCACACAGGATTTACACTTCAATACAAACCCCCATTTTGGGTTCATGTTTTGGTGCAATTTCAATATAGCAAGGAAATCTGAATTTGGGAAGGGTAAAGATATTATTATTAAAACTGCAAACACAAACACAGCTAGGAACAGTCGCAATACATAGACTATGCTCCCGTCGACGTGTCTGAATAACAAAACCTAAGAGATGATTATTTGCACTTTATGTATGAAAAATAAAATAAAAAATATAACATTATATCATGACGATTATAATGAAGCCCCGTTTTCTCTGCTGCAGACTTTGGTCGCATATCTGTAGCAATAAACACCCCTATAGCCATAATTATTAGCCCAGTCTGAATTTCCTGGCAGAAACAGAGGCGGTTTCTACCTAGCTCTGATCATACACGCAGTCGGATGATGTCATAGACGCAGTCGGATGATGTCATCTCAAATGAGTTAGCATGTGTTAGGATGCGTTTCCAGCAACATATCCGAGTTTGGTATAACAGAGCCGACAGACAGTCTTGATCCTTTCAGCTACTCTCTCTCCAATGCTGGTGTAATTTATTGGGAAACCAAAATGTTCCCATGTAGCCAATTTTGACTGACTTTAACCAGCATTAACCATAACCAGCTCACAAGCACAATTACCATGTTTTCTGTGCTGAACACCTGAACTTAGGTTTTTCCCCTGTCAAAAAATGGTTATTCATTCATTTAATTATTATTATTATTATTATTATTATTATTATTATTATTCTCCCAAGTGCATGTTCCCTGCATCTGATTAAAATGCAGCAGTATCCCCCTGCTGGGGTGCTGTCAGACTCCGCAGGGTGGAGGGAACAGCCCAGAGACCCTTGGCCCTGGTGTCCTTAGCTCTGCGATGTCATCAGTTCTGAGCAGCAGATTTTTTGTGACTTAAAAAAAAAAACTGTTCAGTGCTAAAAAAATCCCTCTGGTTTTCTTTTCCTAGCATAATGTGTTGTCTGCCTTGGGGCTGTTGTGATTATGCACTTTTTATAGTCACTACGGCAGCACATTTTGCTGATGTGAAGCTGGCACGGCTCCCTTATTTGGAAAGCGCTGCGACTACATCAGGCTGTGTCTCACATGCCAGTCAAAGGCCTACTTTCCCTACTTCGCCAGCTTAAGAAAATGACACTAACGGCCGCTGCCCTGTGAAGAGCTTATCAAGATAAATTCTAGCATCTGGTTTCTGGATCCGCAGACGACAGGCTTTCAGGGATCCTTCCGTGGTGATATTTGATTTCTGTGAAATGCGACAGGGATGCATGTGTTTCCACGCACTGACAGCCAGCGTTGGCAGAGCCTCCCTTTGTGAAGCTGTCCTCATCTCTGCTGAAGCTCATTTGTCTGAGAGGGGTCTACCTGTGGCCCTGACGGCTCGTCTCTTTGTCTTAATTACCCCCCCCCCTTTAATTGTCTCAAGGCAGCACCTCGCATTTTAACAGTGGGGCGATAGAGAGGGCTCCATACTTCACCTTGATTAATGAACGCGTCTTTGCTGGGACCCTCTCTGCTGCAGTTTAATACACGGCACGTCTCGGGAAGCTGACTAGATGCTTATTTAAGGAAGTGAGAGTGTCAGTGCCCTGCAGCTGGCGTATGCCTGAATGTCAGGCCTCTCGCCTGGCTGGATGGAGTGGGTGTTCATGTCTGGCATTGGGTAAACTCTTCTCATTCCGGCGGCAAAGTTTTTCTGGAATGTTCCCGAAGAGTGACAAACACGCAAGCACGCATATTGTCACACGCCATTCCTTCTCAGCAGGAATCCGGCCTGTAAAAATGCTTTTCCACCACCGCAATGTTATGAAACTGTAAAAATAAGACTCTAAATAACGATCTGATCCAGTCTAATCCAAACTAATGGGGGCGTGTGCGGCCCAGTGGGTTAGGCTGCTGTGCCTGTAAAACAAAGGTTGCCAGTTTAAATCCCAGCGTCGGCACTGCGATTTCTCTGTTGGGCCCCTGGGCATGGACCCTTAACCCCCCAGTTGTTCCATGAACTGGCTAACTCTGCTTTCTCAATTATATGTCACTTTAGATAAAAACGTCCGTTAAGTAAATGTAATGTGTTCCAAAGTGCTCAGTAAAGGTCGCTGCCAGTTAGTGTTCAGTTTAATGTTAAGGTGTGAGGGGGACTGAACCTCTACCTGCCCCAGGGATCTCATTGGAGAAGCCCGTCTTCAGCTGTGAATGTGATTTTACACAAACTTGGTCATTTCCATGAAGACCAAACTCCCCTCCCCCTCCTGATTTACAGACTGTCTGCTCTGCCGGCCATTAAAGCCAATGCGTTTTTTCCTGAAAATGTCGGGTTTCCTGTAGCTCATGTGTAAGCAGCGAGCAGACTTCCTGTCCCCAAGAATATCCCTTTCCCAGTTGTAACCCCATTTCCAGGTTTTCTTTGCTGAACATCTTGGACAAACCTGAACAAACATCTTGGATAGACCTGAACAAACATCTGGCCATCTGCAGAACATCTGCCTGGTCATCAGGGCCCTGGGGCCTGGCCTCTACAGTGCATGATTACCCGCCCCCCTCTGAAATTTAATTCATGCCTGTTACTTCTCAGTGTATACTGGAAGATTCATCACGGTTTGGGATCTGTATGCGAAAGGCAAAATAATGAAAGGATTACTCAAATCCACTGTTAAAAACTGAAATGCTTATCACAGCTGAAAAGGGGAAATTGAAATATCTCTCAGTTAAAGCCACTCAGGTAACTACGGTAACCTCTGGGTGCTATCAGAAGGCAGCTTCTGAAATGGGATTACACTAACATGGTTAGGGGTGAACGTCTATGTTCTTATCCGGCTCTTTCCGTTTCACCAGATGCATGCTGCGAGTCTTGGATTCCTTCGGCACCGAACCCGAGTTCAACCACGCCCACTACGCCCAGTCCAAGGGTCACAAGACACCCTGGGGCAAGTGGAACCTCAACCCTCAGCAGTTCAACACCATGTTCCGTAAGTCCACCGTAGGCTACCAGGCGTTGGCGTGGTTACGGGAGGGGGGTAGCGTGGGGTAACTCTGTAGGGTAATCTGCCACGTGTCGGCGGTGGAGCTCTAAAGAAGCTTAGATGTTAAAGTTCTGCACTTCACCTACCCTTCCTGGTCACCGTAACAGACACTCATGGGACTGTCATGTACACAATCATGTTCTGAGGGAAGAATGAAAAATGATTGGATCAGAGAGATAACCAATGAGATTGTAGAGGAGGTGGGCCCATGCAATTAGAGGAGGTGGGACTAACCAACCAGATGTAATGGTCCCACCTCCACTAGTTGCTTGAACCCACCTCCTCTACAATCTTATCAGTTATCTCTCTGAACCCACCAGACAACAATTATTTGATTGGGTATATCTCTCTGCCCTCAGAACATTTTTGTGTAAGTAAAACTCCCTTAAGTTTAACAGACCTTTGTGGCACGGATTAACACCATGTTACATGGGCAAAGATTATGCAGCAGTTTTTGCTGTCTCTCATGCACCCAAAACACAGCATTTAGCCTCGTACCACATTTTTCGCCAGACCCAGAAGGTAATTCAGTTTGTACCGTGCAGTATTACACCCCTATCACTGAGACTTACTCTTCAGCGCGGCCTGGGGGGGGGGGGGGGGAAAAACCCCCCCCCCTTCCCCCCC